GTGGTTGACTGATATGATCTCTGTCAGGTGGTTGACTGATATGATCTCTGCCATGTGGTTGACTGATATGATCTCTGTCAGGTGGTTGACTGATATGATCTCTGCCATGTGGTTGACTGATATGATCTCTGCCAGGTGGTTGACTGACATGATCTCTGCCAGGTGGTTGACTGATATGATCTTTGCCAGGTGGTTGACTGATATGATCTCTGCCAGGTGGTTGACTGACATGATCTCTGCCAGGTGGTTGACTGATATGATCTCTGTCAGGTGGTTGACTGATGTGATCTCTGTCGGGTGGTTTACTAATATGTTCTCTGTCAGGTGGTTGACTGATATGATCTCTGTCTGGTGGTTGACTGGATATGATCTCTGTAAGGTGGTTGACTGATATGATCTCTGCCAGGTGGTTGACTGATATGATCTCTGTCAGGTGGTTGACTGACATGATCTCTGTCAGGTGGTTGACTGATATGATCTCTGTCAGGTGGTTGACTGATATGATCTCTGTCAGGTGGTTGAGTGATATGATCTCTGTCAGGTGGTTGACTTCGGTGGCCAGACGGAGGCAGTGCGTCAAGAGATCAACCAGGCGGTCGAGGAAGCAACCAAAAACAAGATCAAGAACCTCATACCTGAAGGTCGGGTGATAATGATGATGTTGGTGGTGATGGTGATGATGATGTTGGTGGTGATGGTGATGATGATGTTGGTGTAGGTAACGATGAATGCCGTCGAAAAGTCCGAGGAAGTTGCTATTAAGTTTCGAAAATAAGATGAAAGGCACTCATGGGTATGAGCGCTGTAAATGCAAGTCATGTGGACATTCCACGACTGATCACGCTAAGAATGTGTACATGCTACTCATCAAACCGCACACAAAAGACCTTGAATGTTTCTTTCCAAAAGACCATGTTTTTCAAAAAGACCATGAACATCGTCTACCAAAAAGAACAACTTTTTTCTATTTACCTTGAATTTTGTTCCAAAAGACCTTGAATGTCATTTTCCGTTACACCCCGAACGCCATTTTCCGAAAGACCTTGAAATTTTCCGAATGCCCTGGAACGTCTTTTCCCAAAAAACTTCTTGTCGCAGGCATCCTGGACGCTTCAACGTGTTTGGTGCTCGTGAACGCCGTCTACTTCAAGGGGCTTTGGACGAAGCAGTTTGACAAGTCCCGGACGCAGGACTTGCCTTTCTACACTGATGAGACGAACAGTGTCAATGTCCCCATGATGAGGGCCAATGAAGAGTACGGATACATGATTAGGAAGGATCTCGAAGCTACCGTGCTCGGCATGGACTATCAGGTCAGTATCTTTAATATCCTTTGTATGTGTTTCGAACGTAGCCGCCCCAGGTCACGCTGGAGCACCGCCTTATATCCTTTGTATGTGTTTCGAACGTAGCAGCCCCAGGTCACACTGGAGCACAGCCTTAATATCACTTGTGTTTCGAACGTAGCAGCCTCAGGTCACGCTGGAGTATTCTTAGTATTCTCCATAGTAGGGTAAAACAAAATAGTGTTTCATTAAAAATTGAATAACTCTATAGGCGTCTAATTCACATCATACATTCCTCATTAGTTGTACCTTTAAACAAAACAAAGAACCACCTCGTATCAATTAAAACTTCATCAAAAATTTAGTTTAAAAAAAGTGGGGGGCGCGCTGCCCCACGTTACCCTATTCTTCAACCCTCAGCTCGGCGAATAGAAGTCTGGAATTGCAGTTCAGTGATTCCATATTTCCGGAAATTTGGTAGAAAATAAATTTATAAAAAAGAGTGCACATGATAAGCTAACTCCTGAAAAACTTATTAGCTTTTCACGGCTAAGCACTGCGGTGAATGACATGTTGAACTTCATCGTAGTGTCTGGTTTCTCATGACCACCAACTAGTGTATTAACTTTGAAATTTGAACGTTAAAACCCATTAGTCCCAGGGATCATGTATTTAGTTTTAAATTCTATGTAACTTCTTTATTTCTACGTCACATGATATTTTCTGAGTTAAGTATTAAATATAAAATTCCTTAGAAAGTTTTAGAATTAAACAAAAGTAAAGAGGTTGAAGTTTTATATTCTAGTATTTTAACTTGTTTCAATGGTTGCCACAAAGTTGCAACTCGACTCTTGTGTGCTACATACTTCCTTTGATCCATTCGTCACTAGGTTGTAACCCGAATAATAATTGTTCCTGCAAACCATTTTAATAATTGTCACAGGGTAGTTACCGGAATCGTGTGTGCTATATCCTCTCACTGAGTGGTTCACACGACAGGGCGGCAACCTAAGCCTGGTGATCGTGCTACCAGACCAGCGTACGGGTCTGGCAGAGGTAGAGCGCAAGCTGCAGGGGATCGACCTACGCGAGTTCTTCGACTCGGAGCGAAAAGTTAAGGTGGAAGTGACCATCCCGCGCTTCAAGCTGGAGTACTTCGAGGATCTCGTCGCTACTCTCCAGTCGGTAAGTAGTCAGTATCAGTGAGTAATATTGAACCTCAGGTAGTTTACTATTTGGTAAAAATATTGCAACCAAAGGAAGAAAGTTAGAAGTCAATGTGGATGTCATCATCCTGCGTTTCATGCACTATGAAGACCTTGTCGAAACACTCAAGTTAGTGAATGTTATTTATAAGTGAGTAATAAGTTCGTTATTCATGATTGATATGAGTTAATAATGATCAGAGAGCGATTTTATGACCCTCCAGGCAAATGACGTCGATGCCATGTTGATAACGCAATGATTTCTTCGGAACAACGTTTATTGAACGTGATTCCTACGTCAGACACAACGTTTAATGAACGTTATTTCTACGTCATACACAATGTTTAATGAACGATATTACTACGTCTGGCATAATGTTTAATGAACGTTATTTTAACGTCAGACACAACGTTTCATGAACGTTATTTCTACGTCAGACACAACGTTTAATGCACATTATTACTACGTCAGACACAATGTTTGATGAACGTTATTTTAACGTCTGACATAATGTTTAATGAACGGTATTTTAACGTCAGACACAACGTTTCATGGACGTTATTTCTACGTCAGACACAACGTTTAATGAACTTTATTTCTACGTCAGACACAACGTTTAATGCACGATATTACTACGTCAGACACAATGTTTGATGAACGTTATTTTAACGTCAGACACAACGTTTAATGAACGTTATTTCTACGTCAAACACAACGTTTAATGCACGTTATTTATACGTCAGCCACAATGTTTGATTAACGTTATTTTAACGTCAGACAACGTTTAACGAACGTTATTTTAACGTCAGACACAACATTTAGTGAACGTTGTTTAACGCCAGACACCACGATTAATGGACGTTATTTTACCGTCAGACACAACGTTTAATGAACGTTATTTTAAAGTTAGACACAATGTTTAATGAACGTTATTTTAACGTCAGACACAACGTTTAATGAACGTTATTTTAACGTCAGACACAACGTTTAACACGTTGACTACGATTGCTTCATCTAGTACTATTATTCGATTTTTTGTACTGTTTTTAAACAGGGTTGCCAGACGGTCATTTTTTCCGGACAAATTCTGTGATTTAGTTTTTCTCAATTGCGTTGGCCGGCTAAAGTTCATGATATGGGCACTTCCTAATTACATTTTAAATACTGCAAAAAAAAAATAAATGGAATTCTTATAGCACACCCTACAAATAAACTAGTATATATTGAGTTATCAGCCTTTTTGGCCTTTTTTGTTCTCGGATTTGGCCGATTTTAGGCAACCTGAATTATGTACCACTACGTCCTGGAGTAATACATTTCGTGGTACGCATATGTACCACTTCGTAGTCAACGTGTTAATTAACGTTAATTTAACGTCAGACACAACGTTTGATGAACGTTATTTTAACGTCAGACACCACGTTTAATGAACGTTATTTTAACGTCAGACACAACGTTTAATAAAGTTTATTTTAACGCCAGACACAACGTTTAATGAACGTTATTTTAACGTCAGATGCCTGGCAAGGAAGTACCGTACTTCACAATACAGTAAAGCTATTTCATGAATTGGAAGTCAGTTAAAAGTCAATGTGCAGGTCGGCTGTGTTACACTTTCTTCGGTCCTCGTTCTTCGGTTCAAGTCGTCCTTGTCTTAATCAAGTCGTTCTGGTCCTAATTAAGTCGTTCTAGTCCTAATCAAGCCCTAATCATGTCGTTCTGGTCCTAATAAAGTCGTCCTAGTCTTAATCGAGTCTTTCTAGGTTTAATCAAGTCTTCCTAGTCTTAATCAAGTCTTCCTAGTCCTAATCAAGTCGTCCTAGCTTTAAACAAGTCTTCCTAGTCCTAATCAAGTCTTCGTAGTCCTAATCAAGTTTTCCTAGTCTTAATCAAGACGTCCTAGTATTAGTCATGTCTTCCTAGTCTTAATCAAGTGGTCCTAGCCTTAATCAAGTCGTCTTAATCCAAATCAAGCCATCCTAGTCTTAATCAAGTCTTCCTCCTCACAATCAAGTCTTCCTTGTTTTAATTAAGTTGTCCTAGTCTTAATCAAGTCTTCCTAGACCTGATCGAGTCATCCTAGTCCTAATCAAGTCGTCCTAGTCCCAATCAAGTCTTCCTAGTTTTAATCTAGTCGTCCAAGTCTTAATCAAGTCTTTCCAGCCCTAATAAAGTCGTCCTAGTCCTAATAAAGTCTCCCTAGTCTTAAGCAAGTCGTACTAGTGATAATCAAGTCTTCCTAGTCTTAATCATGTCTTCCTAGTTTTAGTCAATCGTCCTAGTCCTAATCAAGCCTTCCTAGTCTCAATAAAGTCATTCTAGTCCTAATCAAGCCATCCTAGTCCTAATCAAGTCGTCCTAGTCTTAATCAAGTCTTCCTAGTTTGAATCAAGTCGTCCTAGTCCTAATAAAGTCTTCCTAGTCCTAATCAAGTCATCCTAGTCCTAGTCAAGTCTTACTAGTCCTAATCAAGTCGTCCTAGTATTAATCAAGTCATCCTAGTGTTAATGAAGTCTTCCTTGTCTTAATGAACTCGTCCTAGTCTAATCAAGTCACCCTAGTGTTAATTAATGAAGTCTTCCTAGTCCTAATAAATTCTTATAGTCCTAATCAAGTCATCCTAGTGTTAATGAAGTCTTCCTTGTCTTAATGAACTCATCCTAATCCTAATCAAGTCATCCTAGTCCTAATAAAGTCTTATAGTCCTAGTCAAGTCATCCTAGTGTTAAGGAAACCATGTAGGTCAAAATCTATTTTCTATATTCAGGGAAGGATCATCTCCAAACTTGGTACACATATGTAAAATCGAAAATGACGACTATTTTGTTCATGTGAATTTTTCGAAAAAAATGAAAGAAAACGTGAAATTCATAGAAAACGGCCATAAAGGGGTACTTTAGAAAATGCATCTCCTCCTACAAATATCGTGCTACAACATCGAGACAGGTATCATTCGATGCGTAAAGACCTTATCTAGCGATTGTCGGGCCACGAAATAGTAATAAATTTAACTCCGTCAGCCAATCAATGACGGCTTTGAACTCACACGGCTCGACAATCGCTAGATCTTTTCATTATGAATCGAATGATGTATCTCTCATCGCTGTAGCTTCAAAACTCTAGGAGGAGATGTATTTGCCGTGACAAAAAGTGTGAATGTTCAGGAGGGCGTGACAAAATCCCGCGCGCATCCGAATAGCCACTCAATGTATCAAGGATACGAAATTAAACGTAACTGGAGCTTGTACCAGTCAAGGATGGTGGGAGCAACTGCTACTACACGTCCTCGTGCGACGACAGGAGGGTAACTGAGCTCTTGCTCCACCGGACCACCAGCCACTCTATTTATATGCGACGCAGCTAATTTTCCCCGATCTAATTTGTTCAAGAACTCCCCCACCTCCCTCTCCTGCGGAATCTGTAGTGAACGCATAAATCAACGTACAGAGACGGTTTTGGTACCGTTGGATAGCTCAGAACGTCAGCTTTAAGATGAGACTAAAAACCGGAAAAGCCAAAATCCAAAAATTTTACCTACATGGTAAAATGAAGTCTTCCTTGTCTTAATGAACTCGTCCTAGTCCTAATCAAGTTATCCTAGTCCTCAGTCTTATCATGATGTCCTACGGTAGTTGGGTGTGAGCGACATGTTCGGGTCTTCAGCGGATCTGAGCGGCATAGGAGGTCGGCCCGGCGGCCTCTACGTCTCCAATGTGCTGCACAAAGCCTTCATCGACGTCAACGAAGAGGGCAGTGAAGCCGCCGCTGCCACGGGTGAGTGCACCGCAATTTTTAGTGAACAGTTAAGTTTTTAATAACCTAGGCCATGCTATCGAAACTCGCATAAGTAGACGTTGCAGCCTAATATTGGTATAGTTGGACAGAAGCTGCTCTTCAATAAAAATTCCATTGAAGTCCAAATCTTCAACAAAACTGGTTTTTAAAGTTGCAGCCCAGGTACACGTAGATGTAGATTTCTCATCTTTGATTGTTGGGTTTGATGAGTTATGAGTAAATCACCTCATTTGGTTTTCGAGCTTTTGAACTTTGTGGAAATTTTTTGAAAATAACTTTGCGCAACGGAAACGAGACAGAATATTTTTATCAAATTGGAATTGTTTTCATTTATCATGTTGTTGTTTTTCTCGCGAACAGCCGTTCGAAAGAAAAAATGTAAGGGCCGCAAGCTCAACCGGCTGACCTTCACGGCAGACCATCCATTTTTCTTCATGTTGGGAGAGAAACAAAAATCTGGGGTAATTCTCTTCTGCGGCCGCCTTACACAACCGCAGGCGTCGGCCTAAGGTTACGTACACAGTGAAAGCAGGTTGCCAGCGTGCTGGTTACCTGCTGAGGCTGGCGCCTGAAACAAGTGCGAGAGGTTCACAGAGGAAGCAGGAAACCAGCTGCGACCTAATCAGTGCTCTGGGTGAGGAAGTGTATTATTAGTGTATTTTATTACCACGTTTTTCTTACCTCGCTTTCGTGTCTGTGATGATCAAATCTTGCAATCGATATTTCACCAACTTTCCCATTAGCTAGCGCTCTGAAACTTTTAGGGAAGCTCAGCTCCCGATAACAATACAATAATCAATAATTTGTTGCACGTTTCCAGGCGTATAAACTCTAA